TTGAAATCAAAAATTTCAACGCCCGGGGGAATGTTGAAGCGCCTGCGTCTTCTTTATGAGAAAAGAGTTAAACAACGTACTCGTAGTAATTACGTCAGTACATAACGTTAATTTTAAACAGGTTCTTTGTCTTTTCAATATTTTATTACCCTCTCAGCTGTTGTAAGATCAATACAATCGTCCAGGACCACATTTAAGTTGCATTATTTTAAAATTCTCTTATACTCCCGAACAATAACTTTTAATGTAATAATAATTTAAACTTGACATTTAGTTGTTATAATTATAATATTAGAATTAAGTAAATAGACATAAATAATTTAATTAAGAAATTTTTGACTAGGAATAGGTATTACTTACCTAAATATAATTTTTTAGACAGATGGCAAATGTGCTATCTTATTGTTTATATATTAACTCAGCCAAGGACTTAGCTACATAGAAATCTGCTTCTTTTGAGCAGTATAATGTTTTAATATGTAATTTGGAGTCAGTTCAAAGTAATTTAAATATAATTTAGAATGTAGCTTACCAACTTTTAATTGTATGACTCCACAGAGTGATAATGAAAATTGTTTACACCTGGTGCATCAAAATATACAAGGCATGATAGGCAAAGAGCTAGAAATTGAGTTGTTCTTAAATAGCAGCAATATTCATATTTTATTTATTACTGAACATTGCTTAAAATCTTATAACTTTTAATGTTTAACTTCATTAATCAACGGGTGGTCAGTTTTTTCAATAGAGAAACGGTTTTAAGAGGTGGCTCCTTAATATTAGCTAGTAAATTATTATTATGTAAGAACGTAAAGATATTATGAGCCTCTTTGTTGAACGAACTGTAGAAGTGGCATGTGTTGAGTATCTCCTAGAAGCTTCCTCCATCAATATTAAATTTAGATCATTGTTTAAATCATAAGGTCTTTTTAATTTATTCTTAGAGCCAACGCGTATTGCTTAATCTAGTGCAACATGTATAGATAACATTTTAATTGGGTTGCTATAAACTAATTTGCTTAATTCCTCGTAAAGAAAGAAAATGATGTGTCTTGCCCAGTTTTATCGGGGCCTCCCACCCTCCCTCAATCGCGCGCACTATACACGTCGCCGTCAATCGCAGCACTACCATCTCCAGCACCGCCACACTAGGCACGACACATCACTCTCGAAAATACGACACGTGTTTTAACTCTACACAAGGCATCTTCAGGTGAATTAGACTCTGGGGAGGCTGGCCGCTAAGTGAGCGGCGAGCCGAAACTACTGCAATTTATACTACTTGCTGACACAACTGCACTTCAATTACGTTGAGAGCGATTACGCCATGCGATCAATCACCACCTGAGTGACGCAGATATTTGCTGTGAAATTAACAACAGACTGCCTTCCATAGTGTTCACCATGAAACATTAATAAGGAAACTTCAACACTACGGTGTAAGAAGTGATGCTCTTAAATTAATTATTTCATATTTAAGTAAGAGAACGCAAAAAGTTTATTTTACATTATCAGTATGAGCACTTCCAGGTCGATGGTACAAATGGGCGTGCCTCAAGGGTCAATTCTCGGCCCCTTTCTGTTTCTTGTATACATTAATGAACTTACCTTACATAGTAAGGGTAACCAAGATATAGTATTATGTGCTGATATCTAAATTAGTAAATAGATTGAATGTTAATAATTTGCATTTAAATGGCACTAAAATGAAATGTATGAAATTCATGACTCCAAATGTCAAACAATTAAATAATAATATAATTTTAAATGGGGAGAAACTAAGTCTTATAGATACCACCATTTTTCTTGGAATCAAATTAGATGCCAAACTTCAATGGAGCCCCTATATATCAAAATTAGTAAGCAGATTTAGTTCTGCAGCATTGCTGAAAAAAGATTAGAAGTCTTAGTAGTGTTGAAACAGCTTTACTTTAACTGTTTCTCTAGCATAATGTCGTATGTTAGTTTGCTATGGGGATACGCAGCTGACACTGAAATTATATTTGTTTTACAGAAGAGGGCCATAAGAGCAATTTATGATTTAAAGCCTAAAGAGTCGCTGCGACAAAAATTTAAGGAAATTAATATATTTACTTTGGCCTCTCAATGCATTTATGAAAATATTACATTTTACGTACGTACAAAACAATAAAAGTTAACATTTTTACAAATGTTACTTTTATTTCAATAATTTAAAATTAAAAATTTTGTACAGCCGACTTCAAAAACTATTGGTCTGACTATTATCAAATTCATATGGGACCACACAATAAGTACCAGCTTTCAATTAAATAAAGAATCATCCAAATCGGTTCACCCAGTAAAAAGTTATGAGGTAACACACATAAAAACACAGTCTAATTGAATACCGTTTCCTTTTTGGAAGTCGGCAGATAAGTGATATTAATTCTGTAAATACTAAGAACAGACACAAGCTAATAGTACCAGTTACTCGACTCCATCGAGTCAGTATTTCATTCTTGGGGCGATGTATACGCTTTTACTACAAAGTTTCAGAAAATGTACAAAATTTGACCTGCTCAAAGTTCAAAACCTTTGAAAAGAGTTTCCGAACAACTGGCCATAAATAGGTTGAACGGCGACGGGGAAGCTACACAGCCCTATCTGACACCTTTATGGATGTCAATCCAGTCCGAATAGGCTCCGTTCATCCTGACACAAGCACCACAGTTCCTATGAAGAGTTTTTAATACCTGTATCAACCCAGCGTTCAACCCTAATGAGTTCAGTGTTTGCACATATCCCTGTCCACTCAATCGTAAGCCTTTTTCATACTTAATACTTATTATATCCTTATAATCTTATTTTTTTAAAGTTTCAAGTGTAAGTGTAAATATGAATTTGTAATGTTTTATTGTTTTCTTATTAGGTATTGATTGGCTATGAATAAAAAAAATGCAGTTTCGCATTAATAAAACCGGAAACTCGGGACCGGGTGTAGGGAGAGACCTAGTGGTATCTCAAAATTAAACGTTTTTTGCACGGCCAGTTTGTGTCCAGCGGATCCATCGTCTGTTAGCAATGCAAGAAATCTTTATGTGAAGCATTACGGTAAAAAATAAAAGCTTAAATGAAAAACCTAAATAGGGTGCATATGTCTTTTTGACTAATCCAAGCTCTTTTCTTCCGTCAGTGCCATTATATTGGAACCTATATTTACTCCATCTGTGTATACGTAGATCACTTAATAAGTTTCGAGATATACAAAAAGTATTCTAAATACTATTAATATTCTCCATCATGCTCTATACAAAGTTCCATTCGCCTAAACCAACTCTGAAAACACTTTTGCTAGTCTTGATCGACCTGTCAGGTCGGAAACCGCTTCTTCATAGGCAGCCACAGCTTCTTCGGTGCTTGAAAAAAACTTCCTTTTTATTTTTTCTTTCACTCTTGGCAACAAAAAAAGTCACAAGGAGCTAAGTCAGGGCTGTAGGGTGGGTGACTTAGAGTTTCTACACCAGATTCCTCAATAAATGCTTTTGTTCTAAGGGGGTATGTGAAGAGGCGTTATCGTGATGCAGCATGATTCCCCGAAGCCCGGTTTTTGGTCTTCTCTCCCGCACAGCTTGAAAAGCTTTGGGTAATGCAACTGTAGTATACCATTCAGATTAGACTGACCTACATTTTTCCTGCATTGACGTCGACAAATGTTCGCTCCGCGAAAAAAACTAGCTACAATTTTTTTGCCGACGTTGCGAGGTCTTTCCAGTTTTGTCAGTAACTGTCCTTCTGAGTAGACCCATACCGATGATTGCCTTTTATTTTACGGATCGTATTGACAGATCCAAGTCTTGTCACCAGTAAAGATTTCTGAAACATGCCTAGATGCCCCGTTTTCAAAAAGTAGATGCATTTCATGGCACCTATCCACACGAGTCTGTTTTTCGCTTTCGGACAGCAAACGAGGGATCCATCGACAACAAAGCTTCCTCACTCCAAGATGTTGATGTAGGATGGTATGAATGCTCCCTGAATTAATGCCTACAATCTTTTCGATGTCCGTATATGTGATTCATGGGTCTTTTTGCACCAACATTTCAGTAGTCCATACATTTTCTGCCGTTACTGCTGTTTGCGGGGTCCCGGTTCTTTAGTCATGTTTAAGAATTATTTTACCTCTTTTGAATTTAGCAAACCACGTAAAAAGTTGAGCCGTGGTAGCTCAGATGGTTAGCGCTCGCTGTAAGCTTCAGAGTACTCGAGCAACCCGGGTTCGATCCCCGCCGGCACCAATGAAATTGTTAATTGCAATTTTAAGTGCTGATTTACCACGTGCTCGGCGGTGAAGGAAAACATAGTGACGAAACCTAAAAAAAAACTGAAAAAATATTTCGAAGACATGTGAAGTTCGCCAATACTCACTGGGGTAGCGCGGCGGAAATTTCCTTGCCCTAAAACCCTCTCAGAAATGAGAGGAGTCCTGTGCCCAGCAGTGGGACGTAAATAGCTGCAACTTTACGTAAAAAGTGTTGCGCGTGATAGAACTGAGTCCCCAAATGCTGATTGTAACCGTTGTTAATTTAATTGTTCGGCTGAACCAAATTTAAAATCATAATATATCATAGCACGCAAATGTTCACGGTTAAGATCCATCGTTTTAAATAAAAAGCGCGGGAAGCGTTGCAGTAAAAATTATATTATATATATTATTATTAATATGTTTTTTTTTAATACGGAGCAATTGTCTTTTGGAGTTCTATTTTTAAATAAATTTCCATTTTCAATTTTTAAATTTCGAGCATCTCAAAACTACGTAGTATTTATATGTTCACTCAATAAGTGTTGAGATGCTCTATAAATACGTATTACTTATATGTTACAGACGATTTTATTATTATGTGGAGTTTTATTTGTATTTAATAGGGTACACAGAGGATAATGTAATAAAAAATATGTCATAATAACCTTATGTTCAGCGATATAAACATTATTATGTTTGTAATTAAACTTAAGTAATAATTTAAAATAAAAAATCTTTAATCTACATTTAATGTTTTAAATGTGCCTGCTACTCCCATATACTCGTCGTTAAATTTATCAGTCTGTCTGTACTTTTCGTTTGTACATGCAGCTTTCATTTTATTGTTATATTCTTGAAACTCCTTTGAACTCAAAACATCTATCCATTCTTCTGTAAAGAAAAATACATTTATTCTTAAACATTTAAAATATTGACCTTGTAGTGGAGGCATGACAATCCACTACCCCATTTCTTTCCGTGGATGTCGTAAGAGGCAGTAGAGCGAACAAACGACGAGATTAGCAAGACGCTCAATCTTCCTAGTACAAATTAGAATAAATGTAATAGTTTTCAATATTTTTTATTCTACAAAGATTATAACAAATGCTTATTGAAAGTGATTTTTACTTTTATTTTGATCCGGAAAAGATTTCTGTTTTTGTGTGACTAAAGTGAGAATTTTTAGAGAATTTTGAGTAGGCATTTTTAATGAGAGCCGGTATAGATGTTTTTATACAATAAAGGTGGCAAACGACACACACATAGTCCACTTGACGGTAAGTGGATGCCGTGGTTCATAGACCTCCACATAATTTATCCTCGATCGAGGATCAATATGCATATACCCCTTTGAACTAAGATGGAATGCAATATTTCGAGTAAAAAGGGTCTCCGGTTCTCTGCACTCACGATACGAAACACAGTAGCCTTAAGCTGGTATTTTACGTTGAATCTTAAGAATATTAATTTATGGCACGAAAAATTAATTATGCAAGTACAGATTGAACTTATTTGGTGTATTTCAAGGGCCAAGAATGCCTATATAATCAAATTGTAAATACATAAATAAGTTTTTGTCTTTAGGCGAGAACTCCCGATGATAAAAGGCAATTAGCAGCTGTTATAAAAATAAACTTGTATAAAAAGGAAAACCATAACCCTCCTTTTATCGTTCCAAAATAATTCAGTCAGTCTTCGATGGTAGATCCTTTATTTTGTAGGATTGGCACAAAAGAAGCCACCAAAAATGCTTTTGGATACGCTCTATCACGTGGCACTACAGTTGTGACTTTAATTTAACACATGGGTAGGGCTAGTGCCCATTAATCATATCATATCATATTATCAATATTGATAGCTAAAAATAACTTTTAAATAAAAAAAAATAACAAACTAAATAATAGACGTCAATTTAATTTGAGCTTTTGCATTTACATCTTCTATGTTCTCTTTAGTTATATTTCTTGCGTGGCTTATTCAATAGGATTCAATGGACTTAAATTGTACATATTCTTAGGATGTATTTTATACGTATTTATTTTACTTGCCATGTGAAATCAAAAAGAGAACTGGTTAACTTTAAGAACGAAGATCTTTATCGGATGGTACGGGTTTGGCGGATGGCAGCAAGGCGACAAAAAGTGTAAGATTTTTTCGTCACTACCCCTTGTGTCGTAGTGTTTTTAGGATTATCATAACAGCACGATAATTCTAAAAACACCATGCCCTAACTATTTAAAGCTAAACATTTTTTAAATGTTTATCGATCATTACTCCCTTACAAAGAAGCTAATGGTCAATGTGTCCTTCTCTACGACACAGGAGCGAGCGCACTTGCGCCGCCGCCTTTGAAGAACGCCGCGTGCCTCGTGCCGCTTGTTTATGGACGCCGCCAAAAGACACCGCTGTCGACGTACAAAATCTCACGTCGTAATAGTTTGCACTGCGTGGCAACGTCGCTTTTTAATGATGAAGGACATTAAATCATTGACTTATGCCCGGTTTCTGAAGTTCCTAGTTATCTTCCCATTAGCTATTGATTCAATAAAGTTATCTATAGAATAAACGTCAGTTAACTGTCACTGCGTTTCTGAATACGCAACGAATCGTTCAACAACTATGAAATCATTAACAAGTACCATAATTTGCCGCTAGATGGGTCTGTTTAAGACATCGAGTCTAAAATTGATTTTTTTGTTTCAATTCTTCATTTATACTAGTATTATTTATAAAATATATTATTTGTGGCTAAATAAGAGGATATGCACTGTTTTAGTAATAAAATATGATAATTCCATATTTATCAGAAACTGTATGAATGACATCATTGTATTGTCAAATTGTTAAAAAAGAAAACATCAAACTCATTGCTTTTATTCGAATGTGATTGTGATGATAAAAGTTGATGTAGTTTGCTTGTTATTTTTTTTTATTTACAAGTTAATTTTAGCTATCAATATTGATAAAATGATATGATATGATTAATGGGCACTAGCCTTATCCATGTGTTAAATTAAAGTCACAACTGTAGTGCCACGTGATAGAGCGTATCCAAAAGCATTTTTGGTGGCTTCTTTTGTGCCAATCCTACAAAATAAAGGATCTACCATCGAAGACCGACTGAATTATTTTGGAACGTTAAGAGGAGGGTTATGGTTTTCCTTTTTATACAAGTTTATTTTTATAACAGCTGCTAAATGCCTGTTATCATCGGGAGTTCTCGCCTAAAGACAAATACTTATTTATGTATTTACAATTTGAACGGAGTTTATCTTACATTGCAATGTTCGGAAACGCACATTCACAAGTTATCGAACCAATAGCGCTAAAGAATAGATAAACTGCCGATAAAAGTACCTCAGAAACCGAGCATTAGTGACCCAATTCAATAGAGAGTTCAAATTTGCTTAAAATTTAAACTCTATTTTTTGACCAGATTACTGGACCGATTACGTTCATTTTTTGTATATCGTCAGCAAAAGCAATATTTAGTTATATATATATATATATATATATATACCACCGCTCATGCTCATCACCATGATCTCACCGCATCTGCAACGGAAATGCAGGTGCGTTGTCAAAATATAATGTCGTTTTTATTTATTCTTATTTTTAGTATGATGTGTATGCCCATTTATCACAAAAAATAGCAATATCTATATGAAATGAGCTAGATATTGAAAAGTCAGGAGTTTATTTATATTGTCCTTTAGATTGTGACTGAGAGTGGTTCTAAGTCATGTGTCGTAAATATGTGTTGGTTTAGATTTAGATGCTTTAAATATGGAATATACAAATACGGCAAAAATAAAAAACTTACTGTGTAATTGAGCAATAGATCTACCCTTCCCTCCTAGCTCTATTGGTAGCACATCTTTTTGGACAATTGTGTGCAGTGATTGCAAATCCTTGTGTACTTGAATGCGTTGACCTACTTTTGCACTGAGAATTTGTTTCAAAAATGACACAATTGCTTCTACGGCTTTTGAGGAAGTAATTAAATGTATACCTTTAATCCTTAATCCATAGCCTTCCTGAAAAAAGAAATGTTCTGATATGATTATTTTAAATTTGTTCATTACGACAGCATGTTCTCCTTGAATAAAGCAGAAGATATTTAAGAGATTGTAATCAATATCATAGGATTCATTGCATTAACATTGCAGCCATCCACAAGTCCACTGCTGAACATAGGCCTCTCCCAAGGAATGCCACAAAACAGGGTCCTGAGCCAACTGCATTCATCTAATTCCTGTATGTCTTACCAGGTCGTCATTCCATCTAGTGCTGTGTCGTCCTGCACTTCGCCTACCGGTACGAGGCTGCCACTTGAGAACTTTTTCCCCATCGGTTGTCAGTTCTTTTGCGGGCGGCCCATTGCCACTTCTGCTTACTAATTTGTTAGGATATGTTCGTTCACTCTGGTTTTACTAAGTTTATTTCGCAGAGAAACCCCGAGTATAGCCCTATGCATTGCTCGCAGAGCGTCCTTGAGCTTTTTTTTTTTTTTTTTTTTTTTATATGAGAGGAGGCAAACGAGCATGCGGCTCACCTGATGGTAAGTGACTACCGCCGCCCATGAACAACCGCAACACCAGGGGAATTGCAGATGCGTTGCCGGCCTTTTAAAAAGGAGTGGGCTCTTTTCTTGAAGGTCCCTAAGTCGTATCGGTCCGGAAAAATCCCTGGTGGTAAACTATTCCACAAGGAAGTTGTGCGAGGAAGAAAACATCTTCTAAATCGCACAGTGGTGGACCGCCAATCATCCAGATGGTGTGGATGGTATCGGGAGTTCTGCCGCGATGTGCGTTCGTGAAATTTGGCGGCTGGGATTAATCCGAACAATTCCTCAGAGCACTCCCCATGGTAGATGCGAAAGAAAATGCAAAGAGATGCAACATCTCTTCGCAGTGCCAATGAATCGAGCCGATCGGAAAGGGCTCGGTCGTCGACGATTCGAGCCGCTCTGCGCTGGATGCGGTCAAGTGGAAGGAGCTGGCACTGGGGAGCCCCTGCCCAGAGATGGGAACAGTATTCCATGTGAGGCCGAACCTGCGCCTTGTAAAGTTGCAGGCGGTGTGCCGGCATGAAATACTGTCCCGCTCTGCTGAGCACGCCAAGCTTTTTAGAGAGCTTCCCCAGATAGCCAGTGACATGGACGTTATACATGATCTCTGATTTGTCTATGTTCATAAGACCTATCCTTTGGGAGGCACTATTGAGGTAATTGAGCTTAGTGCTTAGGTCCTCCACTAATTCCGCCATAAGGACTATATTGTCGCCAAATGGAAGGTAAGTGATGTACCCGCCATTGATGTTAATATCGTATCCAGTCCAGTAGCTTAAAAACGTCTTCCAACGCAGCGGTGAAGAGTATTTGGGATATAACGTCACCCTGTCTTACACCTCTCTGCAGTTGGATAGGTGCTTTGGTTTTGTGCCTTGGATAGCCATCGTAGCCCTACTGAACCAACACTGCAGCACTTCCATATACTGACAGTCTACTTGTCACCGCTGAAAGGACTGCAGCATCGCCCAAATTTCTAAGGAATCAAAGGCTTTCTCATAGTTCACATACGCAAGAGATAGTGGCAAATTATACTCCTCGGTCTACTGTACAATTTGCCGAAGGGTATGCTTGTTTGGGAGGCTAGTAGTCGTCAAGTCTGCGTGCTAGATGATTCGTAATGATTCTCTAAAACAGCACGTAGACGCGGTTAAGGAGGAAAGTCCGTCTGTAGTTCTTCAAGAGAGCATTGTCACCTTTCTTTAAGAACAAGATCACCTCACTTCTGCTCCACGCCTCCGGAGTAGTGCCACCATGGAGGATGAAATTAAAGAGCTTCTAAAGGACTTCAAGTACCGGTTTTCCATCCGCTTTCAGATACTCCGCTGTAATTGTAAATCCGGCGACTTGCCGTTTTTAAGGAGCTGGAGAGCCATTCTAATCTCGCTCACACTGAAGTTCGGGATATCATCGGAATAGTGTCGGATAAAACTTGCTCTTGGATTGTTATTCATACCTGCGTGTGGCTCCAACGATGACGTGTACAGCTGCCCATAGAACCTCTCAGTCTCACTCAAAAGCTCAGGTGTCCTGGAAATGACACTGCCATACTCGGTCTTCAGCTTCGACAGTTGGCTCTTTCTGGCAGACATATCTCTTGCAAACACTTTGGGAACCTGGTTCTGGTCAACCGCTTTTTCATTCAGAGCAGTATTAAAGTTGCGTAAGTCCCAACGCATGCATTTGGAGATCTGTCTGTTCAAATGCCTGTATTCTGTAATATCTGTTGAAGACTGCAGTTTCATTTCCCGTCTAACAGCCATGAGATTAAGAGAGTGATCGGAGAGCTTTTGTGTTCTTCTGCGGCGGGTCTTGCAAAACTTAGTTCGGACCGCATGGACAGTTTTCGAGAGCTTATCGTTCATATTGTCAACTGCATTGCAATCTTGTATTCACTGAAAATGGTTTTGTTACTCGAGCTGAAAGGTTTTGGAACTTTGGATTAGAGCACGAGGGTACGTACGTATGTTGGTGCGTAAATCTGTGTGACAGTCAACGAATACCGTTTGGTGATTCTAAGTATAAGGTACCTCTTCGGCACACTCACAAACTTTTTTACGTTGTTAACGAGATACTTGTAGACAATAAATCCTACACCTCCTTGGAAAGGATAGTCGCCCTCTCGGTGATGGTACAGGTTGCCAGATTCAAAGATTACCGTGTTCTCCTCCTCTTTTTGGACTTCAGATTATCCTATAATATCCGAGAGCAACTTGTCTATCTCTTCTTCCAGTTCCAGGATCTTCTTGTCAGTCCTCCGGGTGCTTGCGTTGTATTTTGGCAGGTTGAATCGTCTTAGGTGGCATCCGAACCTCCACCGGAGATTCTTAGCATGCCACGCCGTTACCATGGGCGCCACTGTTACCAGGAATAACGGGGCCGCTGGGGACTGGGGGCCGTCGTTTTGTAACTTTTTTCATTGAGTCTTTTTGCCATAGTTGTCATGCTTGGCGAGCGGGTTGGCAACCGCATTTTTTATTGTTATTCGCTGTTATATATATATCAGAAATATACTACTGCCCAACTTCTGTCTCAGTTTCCCTCTGTCGCCTCTTATGACACCCACGGGAAGACATGGAGTAGTGGGTATTCTTACCCGCCACTACACGAAGGCCACGCCACTTTGTCCTTCATCAGCCACCAATAAATTTCCGTAAATTTTTCAAAATAAAAGTTCATTTATAATATTTAATTTATGTTTAATTTATTTTGGGTCTTAAAATCGCTATGCAATACGCATCTTCCAATTATCAAACTAACACACACAAGTACCGATATCGAATCGATAAAACCAACAATACATGGTTTTGTATAAATTCGCTTAACAAATACAAAATGTAAGATGGTACCAGTAATTTATGTTTATCTTTGGATATAATATAATACAGAAAAATAATGCTTCTTGTAGTACGCGTTGCTATAACATTCATCCATTTACGATGGTCATTTGTTTACGATCAATTTTAGTGAGTTGTTGTTTGCGTTCGCAAATGGTTTTGAAAAAAAAAACACGCATGACGGGCATAGCTAGATATGTACGAAAGAAGCAATTTATCAATTCACTGGAAAAGTAACGCATATCACAAATAACTGGATAAAGAAATTAAAAAAAGTTACACAGAAGTTCCTCATATAATGATGGAAATGATTTTTTTCGAAATTGAACACCAAAGGATTATTAAAACCAGCCAAACGTGTTAGGCCACGTACAGTGGGGTACATGGCCTAACACGTTTGGCTGGTTACCGTACGTACCACACGCCTTCTTGATATTATGAGCATATTAAAAAAGTTCGCAGTTTGAGCGCTATAACGACAAAAAGCTTAATCAAATAAGCCTATAGTAACTAAAGGACTTATTTTACAAACAGACATAAGGAGTGGTATTCAAAAAGATTAAGAAAACTTTTGGACTTTGAAAATAATACATTTTTTTCGTTCATTATATATTATCTATTAGATCCCGGCAGTGTAATCCTAAGATCATGGCCGGAACGAACCTTCCTTTAAACTACCTTTTCCTTTAAACCACCACAACCCTAGTCCATCTTGAGGATTTCCCATGTAAACTAAGGGTACCCACAATACTTTGAAACTAAAAATTATGCGAAAATGTTATGCCAGGATCGGTATCTTGGCGATCGATCCTCCTATCATGTCTACCCCGCAAAGGAAAACATATAGCTCTTAGCAATATATCATAAGTCGTTTTCTTAAAAAAAAACTTTATTTTTTTTACAGTTTATGATACAATTAAAAAGTGATAATGCAGCAAGTTTAAGGACATTTTCTATGAAATTGTAATGAAATTTTTATTAATCCAAGTGCATGTTATAAGTTGGTCAACTTTTTTGTAACACAATTTGTTATGCCGACTTAGCTACAATAGTTTCCCTTTTAATTTCATTATAGATACTACTATCTTGCATACTTTTCACATTTACTAAAATAGCAATTTGGTTGGTAGAGGAGATTGGGGGTGGGACATACGACTCTAATAAAAATACCACTATAAAAAATATTTCGAACCCTAAATCGAAAAAATGTTGTTCCATGCTCCTAATATTTTTGGAAGACCTATCCATATACACTCCACACGATGGAATAATATAGAAACTAGATAGAAACAATACAGAAGCTAAGAGTAACAAAAAGAAGAAACTACCAGAAGAAACTCTGAAGAAATAGTGAATTAATAGAAAAATTCCTCACCCGAACGTCCACCCAGCTAACAAATTATAAACGGATTTATGTATGTGTTCTTATTTTTCTCGAGATGTACCAGCACACAACTGATATTAGGATAAACACCATAAAATTATTTTGTTTCGGATTATCAGCTGGTGCTTATGATATATTTCGTATTCTGTGTACAATATTTTAAAGGTGAAAAGAGGCGAATGCGAAAAATACCTAAAAAAGTACAATAAAAAAGTATTTTGGATAAGGTAATATTGCAGTTAAAAA